TCAGCAAGAAGGAAAGAAATGGGAAGGGAGGAGAGCTCAGGGTCTGGGGCCTGGGAGTCTGTGTGAGGGGACAGCAGGAGGGAAGGAGCTGGTTGAGGACTGAGAGGTGTAAAAGCAGTGAGAGGAGGTGAGCACCGCAGGGAGAAGGGCAGCAGGAGAGATGGGGAAAGCCCAGACACGCCGTGGTGCATTGTTTTTAATGTGCTTTCTGGAAATTGGACCTGTTCCTGCAGCGTGGGACTGCAGCTCGGAACGAGCCAACGCATCTGTCTGACAGGCTGTCCTCAGGAGCCGTGACTGAAATAGCCCCTGTCCCGGGGCCAGCCGTGTCCCACGCCTGAGGACAAGGTTGTGCAGCCCTCTCTTTGCTTGCCTGTAGTTTTCCCTGCACTCATCTGAGGGGAAATAAAGTTTTTACAGGTGTTGCTCGCATCCTTTCAGCCACTGGGCCAGTGTGCCTAAAGCGTGGAAATGTGTGAGAAGCAGAGCAAAGCCTCCTTGGCTGCTGCTCCTTGAAATAGTTAATTGCATGGAAATGAAAGGAACCCAAAGCATTTAGAAGTATTTCTTCTTGTAATGCCAATAGAACAGATCACCCAAACTAGAAAAGATTGGAAGTCTTGTCTGCAAACTAGCTGCCTCTGAGCGGGCTCCGTCCCACTCAAAGCCAGGAACCTGGGTGCCGAGTCTCGGCAATAGCAAAGTGAATCCTGCTCCCACTGAATGGGTGCTCCCAGTTCTTATTTTTGCTCATCTTATCCCAGGTCCTGAAGGGAACAAACCTTTTAATAATTCTGTTGACTGACTGCTCATGGCCTACACATGAAATGGTTTGTTCCCTGCACATGGGATTTCAGCAGGGTGTGAGGGAGGTGAGATTGGGTTTTCTGTTGGGAGGTGGAGAAGCACTTTGAAGGATTCATCCTAAGCAGCCGCCAGCGCAGCCAGTATAAACCTGCCCTCTTGTACGACACATGGCTCGTGCTCTGCTCTCCTGCCTTCTGGGGTGGAAGGAAGCTCACTGTGCCACCTCACTAGCACAAAGTCTCTTCTCAAACTGTTTCTAATGGTGTGATCAAACACATAGCCTAGGACATGTAACAGGATGCTCAGAATGCTATTTTTTTTCTTGTTGTTTTCAGAAGTCAGAATGTATATAATATCTGAGAAATGGGACTGTGGAAAGAGAATAAGAAGTTTCAGGCTGGAATGCTAATAGTAGGAAAGCACAGTCACTCTTGTCTTTGCAGCAGAGTTCCACTTGGAATTGGACGAGTCAGTTTAATTGTAATTAATTCGGGCGAGTGTTAACCTGTGATCTGAACTGTCAAAGCAGTGGGAATCAGTGGCTGGTGCCCCCAGGAACTCAGTCCTGACCAACTGAAGTACTGCATGATGCCAAATAGCCCCAAATAGGGAATCTTAGACTAAAAATTACTCTCATTCTTAAGGTCTCTGTATCTCTGTTCTTTCTCCTCACAAAGGTGTTAACATTTTCACATCTCCAGAAAGGGCTACTGGAGAAATAAAGCCACTGGTATTCTTGCTGTGCTGAAGGACAGGGGCAAAACAAAATGATGAAAGGCTGGTTATTAAATGTACATGATCTCTCCTGTGCACTGAACAAGAGTAACAGTACTGGGGACTCATGAGTCTGGGACCAAAGTATATTCTGTAAGAATTAAGGACCATGGTTCCATGCTCATCAACAAGCAAGGACAAATATTATTCATACATTTTCTGACCTGCGAATACATAGCTTTAGTTCTAGCATCCTTTTTGTGTGTACAATTTGCCATGTGTTGCGGCCTTATTACTTTTATTAAAATTGTTCTAGAGAGCGTTCATGGGTGATGACCTTTGGCCATCTCTGGGTCCTGAATTGCCATGAGTGACAAGTACAGGATTAAGAAAGGACCCAAACCTCCCACAAGCTTACCTAACTGTGCCATCTCTCCCCCTGCTTCAGGGGAGACATTTACAATAAAACACCTTTTCCATCTTTAGTAACATCTTTGTATTGTCTTGTCTTATGACTGGAATGTCTATCACTGACATTTCATATACAGCAAAACATCACCACTGGCCCAGTGTTGTATCGAGCCTGTAGCACTGAATGTAATATTCATGTTGGTGCCAAGGACTGGACTAAATCCTCCTTTGGAATATTACTTTAGAGGTGAATAATGCATGTTGCTTTTTGAAGTTCTTTTGAGTTTAGAAAAATTTGAATTATACATAGAAAACTTTAAAAAGACAGTTCAGGTATCTGTATGTTTGTACTTTGTATTATGGACTCTCAGCCAAGGAAAATTCATGGACTTGTAAATTCTGTTGTATCTGAGGACAAAAGGAAAAGCAGAAAGCTCAGAATTTTCTGGGGAACAGTGTATTTGAATAGATTTCATTTTTAAAAGCATGGTTTTACTTTTAATATTGTACATATCAATGTTGTACATGTCAACATTGTAGTAATAAAATATAGCACATTTCTAAAAGCACTTCAGTTTCAATCAGCTTTTTCCAACAGAAAACCTGTCCAGTGCAAATTTTCTAACCAACTCCATCTAAAAATGTTTGTAATGAGCTGTTGCCTGCAAAACTGAGCCCAAGAAATATATTTTTATTGTGCTGCTCCTCTGGTTAACTCCGATAATACCAAAGTGAACCATTGTCCTAAACATACCAAAAAATAAAAGTGCTTGGGAGTTCTGTTATATATGTTTAATTAATGTCAATGTCAGCATTCACAATGCAAAGTTAAAAGAAAAAAGATACTTATTTTTTCCTGCTGTTTCACATTTTTGAGGATTTAGCCTAAGCCTAATTCCTGCAAGTGCAGCTGAAAGAGTAAACAGAACTGCTGCCGACCCACTGACTTATCCAGGTGCAGGTCACCCATCACAGCATCATATACCATGAAGTTAACACTCTTAGCTTCCTAAGACAAACTGTTTTTCATCTTCCTCCTTTTCATTTTATGCAAAGATTTGGTCAATGTAAGTGACCTGCAGATACTTATTTTATTTTACAATGCACAATATTCTTTAGTGTGCTTTATTAATGTGTTTCATGCGTTAAGGCAGCTTGTAAGCTTTCATCCCACTTCTTGAGCAAGCTTAACAGCATGAACCTCACACAGAAAAATGATCAAAAGAAAAATGTCTTTATCAAATCTGTTTATGAAAATCATGCAGCATTGCCAGTAAAGCAGTATGCTGAGCAGTTTGGATAAACACCGTACATCGAGTGTCCCATCCATATTGACCAAAAAGAGATGATGTTGGACAAGAACAGTACTTCAAGCTGTTTTCACTTACATATCCATTAAATACTGACGACTATTAAATCCACCACGTGTCATCATTTAATAAAGTTAATAGGTATTGTTATGTGTGTGCTCCTACTTCCCTGTGCCAAAATCAACCTTTTTTTCTGCCTTTCTCTCTTCCTTTCCTTCTCTCTCTCTCACAGTACATGTGTTTGCAGATATTGCTGGCCTGCACATTTCAGCGAACATTGCTAGTTCAACATCACTCAGTGCTAATAGAGAAAAGAAAAAACAACAGTGTGAAGTGTAGCCCTTCCTTCTGTAGTTTCTTACACTGAAAGATACCTGTATATACAAATGATATCAGAGTAACATGTCATTTATTAGCAGACATGATAATGGAGATATACGGTTAAAATTAGGAACAGAAGGGCACTCTCCAGCTGCACATCAGTCAGCTACAGCAAGCAATACATATTAACTCAAATAGCCACTAGAGGCCTTCGTTTGACAGGGACTGTCAGAAGGGATGGAGACAGAGCCCCACTGCTCACCCAGGGCTGGTTTCCCCTAAAGCTCTGGGGGACGCTGCTCACTCCCCCAGCAGAGTGCGATACTCCATGTGAAAAAAAGAAAAATCTCACAGGAGCTACAAATGGACAGGCTGATTGTCCCTCAGATCATCTTCAAAAAAAAAAAGTAGGGGAGGGGGAGGGAATGAATAAATAATCCAGTTGTGTGACTTGTTGCAGGTGAGGTGTAACACTCCTCCAGCCTCCCAACCTCCCAACACATTGGTGGGATAACAGCTTGGTTCCGCTCAAAAACCGTGAAAATGAGAGGAAGTCCGCTGAACAACGGTGAGGGTGTTTTATTTCCAGCCGCTGTGGCAGCTCAGGATCAAATGGATTTTCATTGTTCTTTCTCTGCTGCAGTTTGGACGCGAAGTCGGTGTAAATGTGCCCGGGGTTTTATTTACTGCCACCCCCCCCGTCCGTCAGGCTGGTATTCTCCCCCTGGCCGCCTGCTCTAAATATGGCCATGGCCAGTGTGTCAATAATCCCCCTCTTTAAGGGACCTGCAGACACTAGTGTTGGGACATTCTTGCTGTTCAGATGTCTAGCTGACGTCTGATGCTTAAAACAGAGCATGCTTTCATCCCTTCGTGCATTGTCGTACGCCCCTGATGATTACTCTTAAAAGGGTGCCTCCGCTGCGCCGGGAAACAGTTGCTGGCCAAAGGAGAGGCAGCTTGCTTGCCTCAGCCTTCTTGAATGCCTAGACACTTCAGGTTTGCACCAGCCTGACCAAGCGGGACCATGTCTACTTTTGGGTACAGAAGAGAGCTCAGTAAATATGAAGATATTGATGAAGATGAGCTCCTCGCTTCTCTCACTGAAGAGGAGCTGAAGGAGCTGGAGCGGGAGCTTGAGGACATAGAGCCCGACCGTAACCTTCCGGTGGGACAACGGCAGAAGAGCCTGACAGAGAAAACGCCAACGGGGACTTTCAGCCGGGAAGCGCTGATGGCCTATTGGGAGAGGGAGACCAAGAAACTCTTAGAAGAAGAAAGACTGGGTGCGTGCGACAAGGTAAGATGCTGAGGCATTCACTGTTTCCTGGAAATATTTGGGCTGGTTCTCCGCTTGCATGATCTCACTGATTTTCTTACAGTCTCTTTTAGCATTTTTAAGGACTTTGTTAGCCATAATTTTGCTTGCTAAAGCACTATGTATTAGCTCAGAGAATTTTTACTCTCTCTAGAGGTTCCTTAAATGCTCAGTTGAGAACAGGAGTAAGTTCCATAAAAACTATCATTAGTGATTAAAATAGGAAAAATTTTAAAGGGCACGTCAGAAATTATTGCCAAGTAGTGATATGGAGTTTTGAATTTGATTGTATTTAAAAGCTTAAAGAAGTGCCTCTTCTTTTCCTTCAAAAAAATCAGTATTAGCTGCTGAGAGCATGTCAGGAAGGTAATTTTGAATATACACTATCTCAGAACTCGAGGAAGCAGCTGCCAGGCTCCGTGCTCACAAGAAGCCGTGCTGCAGCCAGCAGCTTACGTTGCTTTGTTCCTGCTGCCACGGCTCGGGAGTCTTCAGGCAACTGGACAATGTTTAAAAAGTAGCCTTGGGTAGAGTGATCAGCCAAACCATTTATCTTTATTCTCCCAAAACTAATAAATTGTATTTGTTAGGCAATTCATCTCCCCAGAATAAAAATGTTAATAATGAAGCCTGGTCCCTGAATCGGAAATGATCAGTACAGCTGGGCAGGACTGAAGGGCTCAGTCCTAGCAGGCAATGAGCACTCTCAGTGTAAGCTCATGTCTGTGTCAGCATCCCCTGGGACCTTGCTAAAACAATTTGTGAGTCTGAGATCTGTCAAAAAGCAACTTCGGTTTTCATATTGGCTCCATGTAATTTCAATGCAGAGTAATCACTTTGAGATATGAGTAGCTTTTTGATTTTTAATCACAGCTTCATACCAAGCTGAATCTCCTTAAAAAGACAAGTTTTTCCTATGTTTAAGTAAAAAATAATTTAAAAAATGGACTCAGAACTCTAACAGCCTTAATTCAGGTGCTCAGTTTATTTGCAAGGCAGTAACTGCAGTTTGTACATTAGATAAAATTTTTAAAAAAATTACCTGGATTAAATTAGCCTGCAATAATAATATACAGGATTTCTTTACACTTAAGCGTTCTCTCCTGCTCGTGAATGGTAGTGTAATGTCTTTGTAGGCAAATGCACAGACTGCTAGCTGTCATCAGACCATTAGTATCAGCTTGCAGATGTTGACTTCACTCCCTGTTTGTCAAGTCCTAGGTAGGCAATGGCAAGATTAATGTTTATTTCCAGCAGAGCCTGGAACTCGAAACCCAGACAGTTCCAAAAAACCCTCTCAACAGGTCTAGTTTGGTGTCTTATATAACGGCAGGATTTTTTTTCTTTTCTTTTTCCATGTCTATACAGCATTAGCAATAGGCACTGGCTAAAACTCAAAGTGCTATCAAAAGCCTTTGTACTTTGTGATGTGAGAAGAAACGTCCTAAATGCATCCGTAAATATGAAAATATTGACACGCTGATGGAAGGAGCACAAAGCCTCTCCCCACTGAAGGCAATAAGAAAGCTCCTTCTGAGTTTCTTGAAAGCAATTTTCTTCTTGCCCTCAACTGTCTGGAAGTTAGACACCTTATCTAAAATAGTTATTTGGGCTCTTTCTATAGTTAGTGTTGAGAGATCAGCCCCTCCAGAAGGCAAACATCCTGCAGATAGCCTTTTAGGGTGAGTGACTTGCCCTCCATAGACACCTACCCCTCTGCATTGGCCATCTTAGTGCTAGCTTTTCATCGAGTTACCGCTATGAAGAAAGAAGTCCTGCAGGCCTCTTGCAGCAATCCCGTGTGGAAATGTTGCTGTAAAAACAGAGCATGCCTCTATAGATCTGCAGAGAGAATAATACTCAATTCCAAAATTATCATGCAGGTTATTATGACATCAGACAGTGTATGTGTCAGGAAACCAATTTCCGCCTCTAACTCCATAAACAGCACCCCCAGAAAAGAAAAAAACTAGTATTTTTTTCGTTAATCTAGCATATTAACGGTTCATTTAGAGGCACCAAATGCTGCTTCTCTGCAGCTCTGTTGAAGACTGTATTATATATTTCTGGATAGATCAAAGCATAGACATGAAGATGGGTTCCTGGATGCCTGCTCTGTTCAGCTTTTAAAGGTCTGCATATATATATGGAAATTACAGATCCAAGTCCCATAATGAACCTGATTTGAACACAGCCCCGTTGCTATCTGTGGCAGAGCATCTCTCCGTCTAAGGATCTTCCTGCATGTGATTTGCAGAAGCAATGGGGCTGGACCCTGCAAGTCCTCCATGAGCAGGGCAGTGGGGCCAGATCCTGCAAGCCTTCCAGGTGCTGAACGCTCAGGAACGACGCTCAGGAATAGCTCCATGTCTTGCTTCATTAGAATCACAAATCTGCACATGTTGTAATTACCATCTATTTTGCATGTGTCCAAACAGAAACCTGCTTAAGATTGTGAAACAGTACTGTTCAATCGGTCATTACTATTATTTTAACATTCTCCTGTGTTTTTAGAGCCACATAGTTAAGCAAACTTAGAACTGCACGTTTTCTAAAAGCTGTCATGTTAGTAACTCTTCCTTTTTCCAGAAGAACAAAGTAGAACTGTTGTGTCTTTGCAGAGCGTACCCACTTTGTAAAGTACCCTCTAGTGTTTTACAAAGACTAAAATTTGAATGTTGCTAAAGCAGTGCATACAGAACAGTCATATTTCATCCAAAATTTTATAAATTTTTACAAATATAAATAAAAAGGCATATACTATTGCTGGTCCAATACACAAAACAGTCTTTTTCGGTAAGAATTTTACAGTTGGTCATAGATTGGGAGTCCAGTCATGGCCCATACAACACCGCCGTGCTTCTGGGGTCCTCCAGACGGGGAGCAGACCTTTCGCTGTTCCTGCACAAAGAACAGTCCTCTGCAACCATAGCTGCAGAGGGCACCAGCTGAGCTTTGAGAAATAGATCCATATTTGCTATTTTGGTGCCCACTGAACACACTAAAATAACCTTGGCGTTGAGAAAAACAGGCAGTTTACTCAGTAGGCAGTGAGTTATAACAAGTTACAGTATGGCAGCTGACCTGTGACAGCTGTCGGTGAGCACAATCTTAGCTCTTGGCAAACATTTTGGGCTTATTGACATGTGACTGCTTGTTACCTGTGGGAATGTGTCTGAATCTTTTCTTCACAAGTAGCTTCTAAGTGCTACATACAGTCTTCCTGACATGACTCCTGCAATTCTGTGTTGTTTAGCATGCTAATGTGTGCATTTACATATTTCTATTCTAAATCATGGCAGTCTTTAGCCTTTTTAGATGTCCTAAATGCAAGGGAGATGTCCCCCTATGCAAGGGAGTCTGAGCATAGACACAGATCTAATCCTTATGAAATCAGGAAACTTGTTTCTCATACATCATGCCCATTCTGAAATTGTGGTCTTATGTTTCTGTGGGCAAGGATGCAACTAACATCTCCTTCTGGACATGCCAACACATTAGAAAGTGTGAAGTATGTCCATGTTGCAATGTCTTGTATCAAATTTTCTCTTGGCAAAAGTCACTGATGTCAGTAAATCTGTTCCAATTTCTGCTAAGCATTTGTCTTTTAAAGAATATGAAAGAAATACTGTTAAAAATGTGCTAGTGCTGAAACATTTTCTCTGGGATTTATTTTTAGGTTTCAGTATAAACTTACATAGTTTCAAGATAATTTGTTTTGGTTTTTTTTTTTTGTGTAAAAAGGCAGTAGCTACATTACTGCAATCATGTTTAACACCCACATCTACCTTCCTGTTCAGGACTCTGAAGACATTCAGGACAATTCAGAAGACATTCAAGAAGAGTATTTCACAGAAAGCAATAGCGAAGTGTCTGAGGAGGCATATACTGAAGAGGATGAGGAAGAAGAAGAAGAAGAGGAAGAAGAGGAGGAGGAGGAGGAGGAGAATGAAGATGACAGTGATGATGAGGGTGAGGATGAGGAAAAACAAAATTCTGCAGCTGGTGAAAGACCTGAGGACGTCAGGAGTTCTGACCACATCAGACGCAAAAAATGTAACAGTGCAAAGGACAGTGACAACTTACTCAATGGCCACGATGGAAGAGACAGTGATAATCTGAGCTTAAAAAGCAGTGCCATCCACCCTTGTGGAAATCCAACAGTTATTGAGGATGCTTTGGAAAAAGTTAGGAGCAATGACCCTGACACCACAGAGGTCAATCTCAACAACATTGAAAACATCACTTCACAGATGCTTATACAATTTTCTCAAGCCCTGAGGGACAACACAGTGGTTAAGTCATTCAGCTTGGCTAACACGCATGCTGATGACAATGTTGCAATAGCTATTGCTGGTATGTTAAAAGTAAATCAGCATATAACTAGTCTGAATATTGAGTCCAATTTTATCACAGGCAAAGGAGTGCTGGCCATCATGAGAGCGCTGCAGAACAACAAGGTTCTAACAGAGCTGCGGTTCCACAATCAGAGGCACATCATGGGCAGCCAGGTGGAAATGGACATAGTTAAACTGTTAAAAGAGAACACCACTCTGGTCAAGCTTGGCTATCACTTTGACCTTGCTGGCCCAAGAATGAGCATGACAAGTATCCTGACAAGAAATATGGATAAACAAAGGCAAAAGCGTATGCAGGAGCAGCGGCAGAAAGGGACACCTCGGTCTTCACCTTATGTGTCACCTAAGAACTCACCTTGGTCCTCTCCAAAGCTCCCTAAGAAAGCACCAGCTCCTGCACCTCCACCGCCACCTCCACCTCCACCTCCACCTCCTCCTCCTCCTCCCCCAGTTATTGGCTAGAAGAAAGCACCAACCAGGAATATAGCTGAAGTCATCAAACAGCAAGAAAGCTCAAGAAAAGCCTTACAGAATGGACAGAAAAAGAAAAAAGGCAAAAAAAGCAAAAAACATGAGAACAGCATATTGAAAGAAATTAAAGATTCTCTAAAATCAGTCTCAGACAGAAAATCGGAGGAAGGTTCACGACCCTCCACCCGTCCCTCTACTCCACAGAGGTCTCTCCATGACAACCTTATGGAAGCAATTCGGGCAAGCAGCATAAAGCAATTAAGGCGGGTAAGTAAATCATATTTCAGTAACTGATTGTGGCTCAGGTATAGCACAAGCTCAATTAATTTTAATATATCTATACTTAATAAAAAAAAAGTATAAATGTGAGCTTAAGAAAACATTTGAGAGGAGACCTTTCTCTGATTTTACTTCTATTCAACTGTGGTTTTGAATTGGGGTTTTGAAAGTGGGGTAATTTCCTGAGTTCAAGGTTGTTACAGGAGATGCCGCGTGGCACGGGGTTCTTGAGCATGTGTCTCCGGTATGAATTTTGCCATCCAGACTGTACACAAATGTAATGAACACCCTTCCTACCTCCCTTTTGTAGGTGGAAGTACCAGAAGCCCTTCGGTGAGAGCCTGGACAACAGAGAAGCAGAGCACTGCAGTGGTTAAGAGAAGGTGACTTGTCTGTTCACTGGTGGTAACACACTGTGTATCAAGCTGCTTCCAAAGTATGCTCTTAGATTCAAGCCATTTCTCTTTTATTTCAAAGAAATAAGCCTGCTAAATACAAAACAATGCTTTAAGGATACATTTGCCTTGTAATCTGTAAATATGGAAATAATTTTTTATTTAATGAGATTTCTATGGAGAAAATGCTGCTTATTTAGATATTCTTTTCAATATCTGATTGCACATCACTGGACAAGTTCTTCACATTGAGATTTAATAGTTTACCAGTCTGTGGTTTCTTCTTTTTATTTTTTTTTCCCCATGAATTTACAATAAACGTGGTTTGAAGCTTTCAAGCAGACACATAGTCCTGGATTTCTGTGAGTGAAAACCTACCAGATGTTTGTGTCAAGTTCAAGAGCATTAGGGAATCTCCTCGGAAAGAACCTGAGATCTTTCTCAGCTGTACCCCCCAAGCCTGCTTGGAAGGTAATACCTGAGCCAAGACGTTAGTGCAGTTTCCTACTGAAATGGGAAAAAGTGGTTCATAAGGCCATATACAACTGAAATTAAGCTGTGGCTTGTGCCAAGTCACTGGTGTTGTGTACCAGGTCCCAAACTTTGATCTAACAGAAGGCAAAGTGGGTGATGAACAGAGCTACAATTCATGTTAACGCAAAGTTTAAAAATTAGCATAGATATTTTAAGGATGCAGCAGAATTATTCAGCTGGGACCTATTCAGTACAACTGCACACGGCTGTATCTAGGCAGAACTAACCCCAGTGCAGACACTTGGTCAGACTGAGAAACCTGAAAAGCGGTCTAGCATTCAGGTGGAAAAAGACTTTGATGTGATAGCAGCTGAACAGTAAGTGGAGTGTGAACTGTCAATATGATATGGTGGAAGCAGAGCCAACATCATTTGGAGATGCGCGGCTGGAGGTATCACATCGCAGGCAATGGCACCTCGTGTAGTACTAGACATCTCCCTCTCTCAGATCAGTTATGGTTCCGAGTGCTTCAGCTAGTGTGAATGTAGCAATAACACGAAGAAAATTGACCGGTGGCCAAAATGTTGAAAGGCAAGAGGGGCTGTATGTTTAGAAGCACTACTAAAGATTAAGCAGTTTGCTCACTTCAGCAACAAATAGCAGAATCAGTATTTGTTTTACCTAAAACTACACCAAAGAGAATTACTTATGGTTGCCTAGCATTGCAGTAGTACTGAAAAGATAGGTAAGCTTATATCTAGAAATATTAATGAGACAGGAACAAATTACTGGAGGGAAATGAAGCAGAACAGAGAGGGAGTCCGTTGGTGAATTGCTGGGAATGTTACTGTTATGGCAAGAAAACAGTGAAGATACCTTTTGCTTTTGTATCTGTTGAGTAATAGAACATATCAAAAGCAATTTAGAATTGACTGAAACACTTTCAGACATTTTTCCTCTTGTCTTGGGATCACAACAACTCATGAGTATCACAGGAAATATGGCAGGTACAATTAGTCTTTAGCTGCTTTTGTAATTGCCATAGGGTCTCATAGCATAAAAATTAACCTATGGTCAGTCTCTCATGACTAAGTGGAAGCTGGAGCTTGGAATCTTCTGAGGGTGGAAGCAGTGCTGGAATTCAGACCACAGTCAGGAGGACACTTACGACCTCAGACCCAGTCCCCAGCAGTTTTGTAAAGGATGAAAACCAGCAAAATGTTTAATCATATGCCAGAAGGAGCTAAGCAGTTGCTTATGAAAGACAGGGAGGGAACTCAGGGAAAGCGCTTGGTGGAAGGCAAGAAAATGCTTCAAAAAAACAAAACCAAGCCTTCAAGGAAAGAGGGAGGGTGAAAAGTTAGGAGACTAGTTGTATGGAAGGTGAAAACTGATATAAGAAAAAGAAGATGATATAGAAGAAAATGAATACTTAAAAGTGGCAGATAAGAGAAGAATTCAGAGGAAGAAAACCTAGATAAAAATAAAAAGGGAGGTAAAATTCAACTTTCAGGTTGATAAGAGCTGGTGGAGTTGTTCTTTGCAGTAAGGGATGACAATGGGCACAGCCCTTAGGAGAGTTTGGCTGGAGCTGCTGACTGCGATTGCTGACAAGGGGCTCATCGGTCCTCCCTGGTGTGAGGCCTGTGTGGAGATCAGTGTTTCAGCTGAAACATGAAGTCATGGAAGCAGCGGCTGCATCTGGTTATTTAAGCTCCCACAGTACACGCCTTCACAAATGTCAGTCCTGTACCTTAGCCAAAGTCTAATCTGGGTAATTACCTTCTGCCTACATACATTTCACAGCAGTTTCACTTGGAGGCATTTCAAGGCCTGTCTCTTGCAGAGCCCTGAGGCAGAGCCTCCAAAACCACCTAGTTAAGGTTTTGATGCCCTGCTGAAGGGAGAGGCAGCCACCTTCCCTCCAAGGCTGGGTCCCTGTGGCCAACACTGTCAAGCTCCCTCATGGATGCTTCCAAAGAGTGATCTGTTTTAGTTTCAGATGAGCACCTTCCATACTCTTCCCTTGAGTCACAGAGAGGCGAGTCATCTCCTTTGAAGGCCTGACTGCCTCTTGTTTGACCTGTAAGGAAGTTGGACCCTGGGTCAGCTCCTGCACATCCAGTGCTATGTCCCCATCTGAGCTGGTCATGGTGCCCAGACAAGGCAGCCCTGGGATCCAGGCGTGCTCCTTTTTTGGACTCGTAGGGCTCCCTGCAGTGGGTGGCCATCTACTTTCTCTCAAAGACCAGTCAGAGAAACAAATACACAAAAATCATGGAACCAAAGAATGAATCATAGAATCATAGAATGGCCTAGGCTGGAAGGGACCTTGGAGATCATTTAATCCAGCCTCCCTGTTGCCAGGGACACCACCTGTTGACTAGATCAGGCAACACATGGGGACCGAATGGGAATAGAATGGTTTGGCTTGGAGGGGACCTTAAATATAATTTAGTTCCAAGCCCACTGCCATGGGCCGGGCCACCTTCTGCTAGACTAGATTGCTCGAAGTCCTGTCCAACCTGGCCTTGACCAGTTCCTTGAAATCTGTCAGAATGAATTGATCAGCAGTAAAAGTGCTGCAAAGGATAACCATGTTTTTGGTGAGGTAAAGGGACTGAAGAGGTAAAGAAACAGGAGAGGATAATGGTTATGATGTCTTTAGGAGTAGATGATATGTCCTATGAACATTGTTTATCTCCTCATAAATTGCAGAAATAACCAGCCCAGTGAAGAGCAGAAATACTGTAGCTTCCCGAGTAAGAAAAAAAACCCCAAACCCTGCCTCCCCTATTTACATAGAGCCAAATGTTTCCTGTGGGTGTTCCCCCAGATTCGGGCTGGGAGGGTGGACTGGATACTGTGCAGACCACACAAGTTTCCTACTGTGGTTGAGACTGACATGGGACCCTCCCACCACCCCACAGCTACCCAGCTGTGCTGCTGCAGGGGCGATCTGCCACCAGCAGCACCAAGCAAGGGATGCAGCCTTGAGTGGTGGCCAGAGACTATGCTAGCCTGTGAAGCCGTATGCTCCAGGTAGTCCGACACGCAGGCACTACCTCCACTGCAGCCCCATGCTTTGGCTCTTCTCCTTAACTTGTGTCCATGTGTGCCTCTGTGTGGTGTGACACGGTGTGGAAGAGCTGACCTACCAAAATGCCAGAAATACCAGAGCTTGGCTGTTACATGTGATTCCAGTATTTGGCCCTTTATTTTGTGTCTTCTCACCTAGGGAAGAGTCTGAGCTTATAGAAAGTGAAGAAGCTTACAAAAATCCAAGAGACTTTATTTCCATGTCTTCTGGAAGTTTCCTGCCTCCTATTGAGTTCCCTATTAGACGTCCTGGACAGTGACCCACGTTGCAATTGGGGGGGGGGTGGTGTTAGCTGGGAGGTGGAGTTGCTGGTCCAACAGCCCTGCAGAGGTGCTTCCTTCCCAGCAAGGAAGGCTTCATCCAGGAGAGGCCACATCCATTTCTGGAGGCCAGGTCTGTGCTGCAGGCAGCCAGGAAGCCAGAGAAGCTGGTGCAGCACAGCTGAGCACGGCTCGCTGGGAGGGTGGATGTCCCGGGGCATGGGAGGCTGCAAGTCAGAGGTTATGGCCAAAGCCTCTCCCTTGCCCTCATGTTAGCACAACACAGGTGCAGCCCTCCCAGCACAGAAGAGATGCTGTGAGTATTCAAGACTTCTATGCCACCATTCATACAGTTTCCTCAGATTTATGGAAGTAATGATTAAGGCAGAACAGCTCCACAGCCAAAATAGAGTTCTTGTCTCAGGTTGTTTACAGAGTGACACATGAGGGGGGTACCTGCAATGGCTGAATGTAAGGGGAGAAGTAGCTCCAAGAACTATTCCCAAGTGCAGGCCCACATGAAACATCATCTGGAAGAGTGTGTACAATTCCAGTAACTGACAGCCAGGAAAAAATTGTTTGGGAAAAGGCAGAAAATGGCTAGGATAAGTGGGGAACTGGAGAGGCTGTCCTATGAGAGAGATGAGAACAGGTGGTGAGATCAGTCTAGCCAAACAAAGGCTTAAGAGGATTTCAGCTCATATCTATAAATACTGCAAAGGGGAAAGAGCTACAGGGGAATGTTAGCAGGGGGGGGAAAAAAAGGAGAGAGAAAGAAACTGTGTATGACTGCATTTGGATCAGAAATTAGAAGACATTTCCTAACTCTTAGAACAAGAAGGTTCTTGCAACAGTGGTTCCCTTAAAAAGGAATGAGCTAATTTACCAACTTACTGTTAAAAGAATGCAACAGGCTTATGAAAAGGATGGGTGCTTTCATCAGGAGAAGCCTGGAGCTGGTAACACAGAAGCTTCTGCAGTTGTTATTTTAATGATCTTAGATGTGATAACTCTATAGGATCTGCAAGCCAAAATAGTATTAAAAGTTGTAAAAATTTCCTACAATTTGTGGTAAGATGCTTTATTTTCAAATCCATGCAGATCAGAGGTAACTTTAGAAACAGACTACCACATGGAAGTCAAAGTCTTCCACTCAGTGCTGGATTAATACCATCTACCAACAGCTCAATGCCAACAGATAAGCCCAGCCCTGCATTGAAAACAGAATTAATATTTAGATTACTTCTTGAGGAGTTATAGCTAAAGTTTGTTTTGTCTGGCCAGTTCAATGACTTAATTTTGAATGTTACATTCTCAAATGGGGTGATGATAATGGTGCTTTACATGCTAGGAGAGAACCTGCAACCAAGAGACAAAGCCTCGTTCAGAAGTTAAATTGTGTGCATCTATCAATGAGAAGATGCTCTTTAGAAGCACTTGGTGATTTGGAGTGGCTGCTTTTGTACAAGCAGTGTGAGATATTTTTCTTTTAAATGAGTTTCTGAAC